AATAAACATAGGCTTATTTGTAACACCAGCCAGTAAGTAGATATTTAAGTAACTAGTAATTATATCCTGGAAATCAAATATAAGCAAGAGTAGAAAAAGGTAATTTCTAAGAAATTCATCTCTGTTCAAATTTAGTATAATCCAAAAACAAGTTGATTTTGAAATGGACAACACTACATCATCCCTATTCAGCAAGCCAGATTACACTGCAAGATACTTCCAATGCAATTTGGTGAGCATTGATTCTAATTCTATAAACAATATACTCATTTTCCTTTGTTCGCTTCTGGATTCCCTATATTTCTCATCATTTATGTCTAATTACCAAGCATTCCTCATACACAGTGCAGATTCGCACCAAAGGCTATAACCTGAACAGCTAAAGATTGGTAATTTACCATTCTCTTGTTGTTCTCCTTTATCTTTTTCATCAAATCATCTGACTTTTGATTAACACGAAATTTACATGACAGGTCCATCTGATGATTATGATTATAACCAAGGATTGTTTATAGTGAGACCGTAAATCATCACAAAGAAAAACAAGAAAAAAGCGACTCCACAAGCCCCCAACAAATCCAGGCACACGTCAGCCACAGCAAACAGGATTGCTTCCGACATTGTCTATGGAGACCAGTGAGAAACACGTTGTCTTTCTTTGTGGGGCACGGGGGAGCTGTAGACAACAAGAGAACTTTTTAAAAGAAGCTGGGAAGGCGAGAACGTTTCTGAATGATGAATGTTCTAGGGTCTGCTGGGGTAACAATATAACATGTTGGCTGCAAAGAGCATAGAGCTTGTTGTTGAGCAGGGCTATGTGCTGTTTATTATCATCATTATAAAAAGTCCTGACTTGTGTGACAGTGAAAAACTATGGATACAATTACTATACAACACGGAGCTGAACAGTGCTGAATAAAGTCCAGACTTTCATCAACAGATGTATAAGGAGTATCCTAAGAATTAAACGGCAGGATAGAATAATCGCTGCAGTGAAACCCAGAACGAGCACGAGGCAGGGGCAGGCCATGGGAAACATGGAGGAGATGTGTGGAAAGGGACATGAGAGAGATGAAGCTCACTTGGAACGAGCTAGGAAGGATGGTTCAGGACAGATATAAGGAAGGAGCTTGTATGTGGCCTATACCCTGCTAGAGGTGAAAGGCATTGACGACTATACAACAGTTTCTACCTAAGACAACACTGTCAACAGTCCTGGTCAGTTTAAACTCATTATAATACAATCAGTGACATGAAACAAAATTGTTGTTATCTTAATGTATTTTTATGAATTGTGATTGATAAAACTACCATTAGTCTAAAAATCTGCTTTTCAGTTCTTAATATGGCATAAATAATCGTTACAAACCTTCAATAGAAATTTCTCTCCCCACCCCACACACTCGCACATACATTTAAAAAACCCCAACCCTGCCAAATAATGAATGCTGAAACAGATGTAAACAAACAAAAATCACAATACCTAGTTAGCTCACCTGTGCTGTATGATCAGATTACTTCTGTGGGCAAGCAGTCGAGTCGCTAAATGGAGGTAAAAGCAAAGTGTTTCTTTGACCAAAACATGCCAAATGGAGCACAGAGTGATTCTCAAACTCAACGTCATGATGGTAAAGGAGTTTTAAAATATGTAAACAGCCAAATCTATTATGCTCAACCCTTCTAAATGGCTATGAATGTTGGAGACCAACTACAGATAATGAAAATAAACTAGGAGGAACATAAATATGGTCTCTTGGGAGACTGTTGAGAATTTCATGAAAGGAAAAGAAATCAAACGAAGTAGAAGTGAACAAAGCCTGAGGGGAACATTTACTAATGAAAAAAAAATTAAGAACAGATAAATGCAGAACCTAAGACACTCAAATAAGTGTAGAGAAGTCATTTTGGTCTCACTGAAAAAATTGCAGGCAAAAGAGGCAGAGATAGACCAAGAACTTTACAGAATTTGAAAAAACAAGTGACAGGAAAAGACTTGGATACCATAGTTATTTTTTTGCCTTTTATGAACATCTGAGCACAAAAATAAGTGATGTGTCAAGACTGCTGATCTGTTTCAGATCTGGAGCTTGAAGTTCAGGAGGAGGAGGAGGAGGAGGAGGAGGAGGAGGAGAAGAACCGCACAGAGTATTGACAAATTCAGACAGGAGTAGTTCTTATCAAATCAAACAGTCGGACCTGTCTCAGATGATATAAGAAAAAAAAAACCCACCAAAAAAACCACCTTTATGCTCGTCCCACGGTCAGCGGTATAACAAGGTTTGACTGTATACAAGTCACCCAGTCAAGAGCAGAACGAAATTTAAAACTTAAATACTATTTGAGCTTTGAACAATGGAAAGGGACCATTATCCATATGGTCATACGACCTTTATTCAGTCACTATAACTAATCAGTGTAAAATTGTTTTCTTAAAAAAATAACTCTTGAACTACTGACAATATACACAAATATAATTATTGAATGGTGTTTAGAGCAAATACACATAAGGGAAGAACTTACGGAATTAAACTATTCCCTTCTAATGGGAATAAAACAAAATAGGAATAATTGTTCTTCTTAAGAAAAAATTGAACAATAACAATTGTAGTCACAAGTTGCTACGCACCCAAATGTGTAATGTTGAAGATTTTAGTCAGATTCTGGTCTTATTTTTCTCAAGGAAAAAAAATCCACATTTTACAATTTTTGTTGTTTGTAGTTTTACTACTATATATATACAGTCGAACCTGCCCTGATGGCCACCTCTATAAGACGGCCACCTGTACAGACGGACACTTTCCATTTCCCCCCTTGCGTTTTTTCTATATAATTTGACTGTGTAAAACGGGCACCTGCCCAACGCGGCCGCGGCCACCATATTTCAACACACAACCCCTATCACACAAAGCAATAACACCTGTCTTAGACGGCCACCTTAATAACTCCATTACGCTTTGTCATAAATCGAGCATTGGCCCCTGGCGTTGTGGGCGAGCCGTCATAATCTAAAAACCTTTCATTGTTAGGTAGTCCCTCCAACTGGTCATGTTGCGTTGGCCCCTCCCACTGTTGACCAATCGGTAACAAAATTAATTTTCAGCTGCTGGGGAGGGAAGCGTGTGATCCCTGATAACCCACAAGCCCCGCCCAGAACCTACACACAAATCGCAAGTGAGATGAGAGGTCACTGTTTATCCAGTCTGTAACAAAGTAACAATGGACGTCAGCATGAACTTGTGACAGAAGCGTCGCTTGTTCTCCGAGTGGTAGTACGTGTGTTTGTTTTACCATAGCACTTGGTCCTCCTTGTCTGACACATTTCGTTTTATTGTCACCCGTACACAAAAACAGCAACAAAAGAAAAGAAAACCTAGCGAAAACAACAGCAACAAAAATAACAACAACAACAATGCAACTACCTTCGGTTGGAACCCCAGAAAGGAATGGTTTGTTTTCTCAGAAAGGAATGGTTTGTTTTCTTCATCTTGATCAGTCCTGCCTAAGATGGCCACCTGTCTTATACGGTCACTTTTCTCCATGACAATGGGTGGCCGTCTCACACAGGTTCGACTGTATATATATAAAAATATATATATATATGTATATAAATATATATATATATATATATACAGTAGTCTCCGCCTAAGATCCCGGTGCTTGGGAGCAAGGAAATGCGGGATCTTAGGCGAACCGGGATCTTAACCGACGAACCCAGGGAAGAATCTATGGTGACCCATGTTAAGGCTCACAATCGGTAAAATGGTCTCCCTCCACTCTACAATGAACTGACGTGACCGCTTGGTGGGTTTATGACGTATGGCGAGCAAAGAGTGGTTAACCTTGATGACCTATGACAGTGCATAGTGGGATGTGGCGTGCCATTTCCACTTATTATTCTGAGTCTCAAGATCTACTCTTATCCAGTTGCCCCTCCTCTTTACCTGTCAAAAATTTATAGCTTTCCATCTCTGACCGAGTCCCCCCCCCCCCCTTCCAAACCGCCTTTGTCGTTACACACCATTACGTTGTGAATCCACCAATTAAAATTCAGTCTGTCTCGAAAATTCGGGAGTAGAGACAACTGCTGCAATGGTCAAGGAAGAGTTCACGATTCGATGTGATCCTGCCTGGAGCGAACGTGTAGGCCCTACCCACCCAGTGAGTGATGCAAGTTTAGGGGCAGAGCTCAGGTGTGAGTGCGATGCGTGGGGAAAACAAACGCGTCGGTCAGTTCACACCCCGGTGTGATCCCGTCGGGGGCAAACACTGTATCGCTTCATCGAGTTTTACAACGTGTATGTGATCACATTCACGATAGTGGCTGATCTTTGACGCGACGGACAGTTTATTGATCTCAACTTTTCACTCTTGGTTGATCGGCTGTGCCCGCCTGGGTTTTTGTTTAGCAAATTATGATCTGAAATGCGGGATCTTAGCCGAATGTAGACCATCAGAGCGGGATCTTAAGGGTGACTTTTGTATAGTAAAAATTCTGTTTTCCTAAAACAACGGGATCTTAAGCGAACCGGGATCGTAAGCGGCGGGATCTTAGGCGGAGACTACTGTATATATATATATATATTATATATATATATATATATATATATATATATATATGTATATATATATATATATGTATATATATGTATATATATATATAGTGAAATCACACAAGATGAACAGATTTTCAGGTCCAAAATTTGTTTTTTTTATACATTATCATCTTTGCATTTAAAACACATGATATATTGATAGTGAAAAACCATTCACAGTGAAGAGACTTCTGTGCCTCACTGATTTCGCTATGTACGTGCTAGACCGTGTAAAGATGTACAACAAACAATATGATATTACAATATACTCACTTTTTATTTGGAAGGACATTCTAAGGCTATTCCTTCTTCTAATGAGTACACATCTTTGTCCATTAATGAAACAAGAATGCAGGCAACGTAATTCTCAATTTTTAAAAAGTAATAACCAAGGAAATTTGGACTCACTTGATGAAGCTTGAGTTTCTGTCGTTCACTATTCACACATTGAAACAGTCAATGAATAGGACACTTCTCAAACTGTCGAAGTAAAAACAAAAAGGAAAATGAGAACGTTTAACCTGAAACAACAAGGAATGAAAAAGAAAAACTGGCATCACCTTTGTACATTTATTTAATGAAATTTAATATGAGAAAACTGGAATGAGATGGTATAAATTAAATAGACTCATTGTACTGGGTGAAAGTAAGCACTATGGGTCGGAAGAATATGGAGACAGTGGGAATAGTTCTTCATGATTGTCAAGACTCATGATAGAATAATTATTGGTAGACCTACAGCCTTTGGATAATTTATGACATGTCTATTAATAGTTTATCTCAACTATCTGATCAATAATTCCTTTGCTTTTTATTGGAGCAGCATCATCATCAATGCCTTTCACTCCGGCAGGGTACAGGCCACATACAAGCTCCCTCTATTTATCTCTGTCCTGGGCCATCCCTCCAAGCTTGTTCCAAATGAGCTTCATCTCTCTCATGTCCCTTTCCATGCGTCTTCTCCACGTGTCCCTTAGCCTACCCCTGCCTCGTGCTCCTGTGGGTTTCACTGCAGCAACTGTCTTGTGACGTTTCCGCTAAGCTTTCTGAGGGTGTGTCACATCCATCACCACTTTCTTAGTCCTATTTCTACTTCTATATCCTTTTGTCCTGTCCTTTCCAACAGCACTTCATTTCTTATTCTATCCTGCCACTTAATTCTTAGGACACTTCTCATAAATCTGTTGATGAAAGTCTGGACTTTATTCGGTGCTGCCTTTGTTGTCTTCCAAGTTTCGAAGCCGTAGAGGGGCACAGACTTGACACAGGAGTAGGAAGCGTAAACACGGCCTCGCGGGCACTCGCGGCCTTCCAAGTGCATGGTATCCGTGAAATCGGGGTAATTCAGATCGCCGTTTCTTTGCTCTTTCGCTATAAAACACCAAATGCTAGACATCTTTTAAAAGTTCAGCTTTTCCTAGTTACGACGGTGTAAGTTGTTTATATGTCCGATTATTAGGAGCTGAAGAATCGCCGAGGAAAGCGAAGCCCCTTGCGGTCGGAACACGTGGTCGGCTGGTTCAAAAATTGACACGCGCGCATTCAAATGCTTCGCAGAAAGATTGAGGCTTAAATACCGTCTTTTCATTTGCAGAGGACAGTAGAGCTTTGGACGGGCTTTCCTGAGGTATATATTTGGCATATAGCGTTTAAATAGAAAGCCGTTAAAAATGCCGTCAAAGTTTTCAAAGATTATTTTTTACACAAAATATGTAAAATACCAGCTCAAAAAAAGTATCAATAGAAAGATTAGTTCATTTTCTGTTAGAATAAAGTAATCGGCTTGGAACTATTTTTCATCAATCCTGCGAAACTCGGAAAGCATGTGACCCCCACGCGGGTAGCACTCGCTCACCGCGGGGGGGATGGTGGGGCACTGGCCCGGTCAACGTTCGGAGCTTTTGTCACAATAACGACAGATCATCGTGTTTGCGGCGATAAAATACTGATTTGTACTGGTCTTACAGTCTTGAAAAAAAATTAGGCTCCATATCTATGTTATAGTGATTGTACTCTGTTAATGTATCTGTCAAACATGTGGTTGCAGCCAGTGAGCGACTTTAACAAATTTGACCAAATTTTGAGCATCTACCATTTTCTTAAAAATCAACTGAGAGGTCGTTAAAGAATGGTACCAAAATTCTCAGATAGGCCTTTCATATATGGAACAGATAAATTTGACAAAGAGTCACTTTGAAAATCTAGTTTCTGGTACCTAATTGGAGTTAACTCTTTCACTCCCGCCAGCTGTGTTTCACGGTTTGTGTTTCACTCGGCGCTGGACCGCAATCCGAGTTTCACGGCTCTCCAATTCCGGCTTCAAAACGGCACCTATTTTTGTAATAATCAAATCTGAAATCTTAGGCTGAAGAATGATCGTTTTTAGCAGAATGTTGAGAAAGTCATTATTTCCCCTTTATTTCCGTATATAATACATGTGGCTAAAATAGAAAATTCAACTTTAAAATCTATAATTTGTCTGACGCTTAGTAGAATCAGAAAGCAAGTCACAGATAGGGCCCGGTCACGGAGAGGAAAACCCTCAGGTAGTGAAAGAGTTGAAAAGTCGAATCTTGGTGCACAGTGAGATGTTGCTCGCGTCCCAGACTTTTGATAATTGATTGAATGCTGACCTTGCATTGGCGGTTCTTGTTTTTACATCAGCCTCAGTTCCACCTTTATCGCCGATGACACTTCCAAGGTAGGTAAAGGAGTCCACTTCTTCCAGGGGAGTGTCTTCCACTGTCACAGCAGGGCTTGACACTTCCTAGCTTCACTACTTTCGACTTGCCTGGATGTATGCAGGTTAACACTCCTTGATAGGCTGTTGAGCTCCTTGGTCTTTTCTTGCATCTGAGCATGTGTGTGAGAGAGCAGTGCAAGGTCATCGACGAAGTTCAAGTCATCCAGCCGCTGCAGAGGGGTCCACTCGTCTACTGTATTCCATTGCGCTTGCCTCTGGTGGCTTCTTTCATGACCCAGTCAATTGCCAGTATGAAGAGAAAAGGTGAGAGCAAGCATCCTAGTTGCACTTCTGTCTGTACCTGGAATGGTTCTGAGAGTTGTCCGTCATGGAAGACTTTGCAGTTTGTTCCATCATAGGTGGCTTTCACAAGTTTGATGATTTTGTCAGGTATTCCATAAAGCCCCATGATTTTCCACAGAGTTTCACTGTCCATGCTGTCAAATGCCTTTCCATAATCATATTTGAGCAACACCCCTCCCAATTTGATTATCATTTTACTTTCACTAGTCTCACGCTATACAGCCTATTTCTTGTCCAATTTTATCAGTTTTACACAAATATTGACAGTATTATTTTACTCATGGACCCATCTCATGCTCAGATAATCATTACAAATCACTTTTCTTGTTCCTTTTAAGTTAACCCTTATCCTGCGGGAGCCGGGTTTATTTCGCCCGATAAGCCTATTTCGGCACCTTGTCTACGTTCTGGTCCCGAATCAGTGTAGCCCCTGGTGCAGCGCGCATCCTCTTACGTGTCATTCGGGTCCCGAGTCGGATCCCCATTCACGCAGGTCAAGTGTGTGTGCGTCAGTCTGCTTGAGTTTGTGTGCGTTTGTGGCCTTCTTCTAGAACCGCCTGCGTTGGTTCGTAATCGATGCATACGTCTCATTCAAAACATGCCAAGTTGGTAGCTCTAGATGTTCGTCCAATGAAATTATAGAAGAAATTGACCCACTTAGACATGAGGAGCTCGAAAGGATAGTCAGGAAACAAGACTTCCATTTTTCTATACAAAATATTTCAAATGAGCTTGATTTTGTATGAAATGATACTACCTGATAAAAAATAAGCTTGTTTGATAGTTTTGAATACCATTGTGCAGGTACAAAGAACAATTTGAGGGTAAAACATTCGAAAATTGACCTAAATTATCCCCTTTCGAACCTCAGGTCATTCATAATAACAAGAGCGTCCAGAAAGGTTATTCGAATGGGCGTAACTACTCGTAATGTCTTATCAGCTTGTGAGAGGGGGTTATTCATGTGTTTGTAACACTTTATAAATAGAAAGCTATCATGAAAGATAGAGCGTTATTTTCATCATCGGTTAACACACTCCCGTGGTATTCATGGCGAAAACACACATTTCCCGGCGCGTGCGCTGTACATCAACAGTACACACTGAGTGACCCCGGTGGCCTGCCCGGCACGTCCGACGTAATCGGTTGCTGATAAGATATACACGCATCTGGGCACAGACTCAGGATAAGAGTTAATCTGCCTTACACAAACTATGACTTTAAAATCCACCTCAAATTATTAGATTATGAGATTGGGGGGGGGGGGCATGGGGACAATCCCCCCCCTGAATTTCACTATAATCTGATGTTTTGCAATTATTAGCTAGATTGAGGGCGCAAAGCGGCTATTCATGGCACAAACCGATCGCCCGACTCGTCTCCAAAAACTAAACGCATATTTGCTTTCAGGTGACATGTCAAGCGATCAATCTGACCTGACCTGATCCCATCTGCAATGGGTACCCAGAAATAGGCATGGGCGTTAGTCAAAACCAGTACTGGTTAAGAAAAGACAACTTAATCGATACTTGGTCGCCGGTAATGTTGTGTCTCTTGTCTTCAAACGATTTCCTTGACCAGTACTGGGTATCGATCTATACTGAATTTCTTAGTCAATACCAGTACTCGTGATTGGGTAATATCGACTAATGCCCATCCCTAGTCCCTACCCAGAAGCCTAAAATTTGCGGAGTAACCAATCTATTAATCTGGATGCCCCTCCAACGTTTTTTTATTTTTAATAATTTGATGTTTAGCACGGCGTACAGACAGCGCTCTTTTGGTTGGATCGGCGATGGAGTGACCGGGTCACGGCGGGCCGGTCACCCAGAGGTCACTAACCC